ATAAATTAAGTTATTTTTAATGTCCACTTCTTCAAACCAAAAATTGGGAGGTAGGTACGTGCTTTGTGGATTGTGGGTGATTGTGTTGTTTTATTATACTCTTTCCATGTTTCAAAAAACACGGGCATCCGAACAGACACCCTCTTCCTCTCGCTCCTTTTCACGCAAATAACGCACGTTTTCCCCTCTCCTTCGCTTTTCGACCTTCAAACCTACATTCTATCTCCAGACTCTGTTCTCCGCTTGTTTCTGTCGCTTTGTTTGTCTTGCTCGGTTCCGATGCGTCTGTGTGGAGCTTAGAGTGAATATCTGTGGGCTTGGTAAGTTAGACGTTGAACTGAAAACTCTGCTACATTGTCTTTTACTTTTTGCTGGTGTATTGTTCTGGGGTTTGATTTCTAGGTTCTAAAGTAGCTATTGAGTTGGGTATTTCTCAAGTTATGGTTTTCCTACATTGCATGTCCGTTTCTTGATCTGGGTCATTACCATTTTTGAATGGCATTAAGTATTTAGAAGGATTTTTGTAATCTGGGTTCATGCAATTTTAGTTTTTGTTGAAATTTAGGCTGCTTAGTTCCACAAAGGATGTAGCTTTCTGCGGTTCTCTAGGATGTTGATTATTTTTTGATTTGCATTTCCAGGTTTTGTTGTTTTTCCGGTGGCTTTTTGTTGTCAACGTCGTCTGGTGGGGGAGATTCTAATTTGTAAAGGATGGTTCGTGGTGTTATGAGGTTTTTCTGATACATGGGAATTTAGTTGGAAAGGTTCCCTTCTTGCAACATGGGACTCGGTCCTGATGCTATCCAGGTGGGGGCTTGGAATGTGGGGAAATCAAGCAGAAAGAAGAAGGATTGTGAAGCTGAGGGGCCTGGGTTGTGGATTAAGTTTGGGCTTATGGGAAGCTGTTTATCTGCAAGGTCCAAAGTGGATGGTTCCGTAAGTGGCACTAGCTCTCAATCTAGTAAGAAACTTTATTTATTTCTTAGTTTGTTTTGTTCGTTTTCTGTTTTTCTTATATTCTTCATTCAATCATTTTTTTGTGTTTACCTGGTAAGATACTTGTTGATTATTTGGTTGGCTATGAAATGGATTATATGTCTGATCATATTTCCTTGTCTTCACTCAGTTTTTCAAACCTATAATGCTAATGCATTTTATTACAATCTCTGGATCGGCTAGCATGTCATATGTTGCATCATTGACAATTGGCAAGTTGTTCTCTTTTAGTTTCTTCATTTTGTTGCCGGTTTTAGTCATGTTGGTAAATTATATGGCTATTTACTTGTACGATCAAAAGCTAGTTGTGTCGTTTAGTGCTACATGGATGTTGAAGCATACTTTATTTGACTTAATTATCTGGTTTAGTGAGCGTGCTGTTTACACCTGTATACTGATCTCTTTGATTTCTATTGAATGCTTTTGCTATAACATGTGTGATGGGATGAATAGATCAATTTTAATTCTTGTTTGGTGGTGTTAGATTATTAAATCCCTGCATTCATTAATTTTGTCAGATTTGCTTTTGCTTAAATAAGATAACTAAAATGGGTGATAATGCATCTGAGTTCTGTCAAGTAAACACGTCTTTCTTATTCTTAATTGATGTGCCCCAGCTCTGGGACATGTACTAATTGGGTGATGCAGAATGGATTATTGTTTATTTCCTACATTGTTCACTTTGGAATTTTAGTACTGGCACTTGGAAAGTTATAAGTTGGACAAAAACGGGAAACACATTAGGCAGTTTAAATGTACATTTAGAGCTTTTAGTGTGTTTAATTTACTGTCATCATGATACACCTGTATGCTTCCTTTTTCCGTGAATGAGCATAGTCCACAATAAAGACAAAATCCTAGCCTAAATAGTCTTAACACATTATTATTTTGTTTGTTAACCTGCAGAGAGTAAATCTACAAATAATACCATCAGGGACCAACCAGTTATTCCAGTTGTGTTGTCTTCAACCACTAGCACTGCTGAAAGCACTCCATCCACTCCAAATGTAAGTGAGGAACTGAAAGTTGCTTCTCAGCTTTGGAAATTTTCCTTTAATGAGCCCAAGTCAGCAACAAGGAATTTTAGACTCGAGTCTTCTTGGGCAGGGAGGGTTTGGTTGTGTTTTCAAAGGTTGGATCAATGAGAATGGAATTGCTCCTGTGAAAGCTGGTACAGGATTGTCTGTTGCTGTCAAAACCCTCGACCATGATGGACTTCAGGGTCATAAAGAAGGGCTTGTAAGACACTTCGTCATCTATCTAGGTTTACTTAACCTTGTATATTCATTTGATTGATTGATTGAAGGATGTTTTGTGATGTCCGGATTTGCCAGGCTGAAGTTACTTACCTCGGTGATCTCTTGCATCCTAATTTGGTCAAGTTGATTGGTTACTGCACTGAGGAGGATCAAAGGCTCCTGGTCTATGAGTTGATGCCTCAAGGGAGCTTGGAGAATCACTTGTTTTGAAGTATTTAATTTAACAAATTGTTTCTAGAGATTCATTTACTTAGTCTTACTTTTCCACATAAAGTTGGTCTTACTTTTCTAGTAAAATCACTTCTTAAAGAGGTGTTTCATTTAGAGTTTAAGTGCATTGAAACATTGTGATCTCATTTATCAATGAGGATGAGAAAACAATTTTCTTTAAAGTTATTAATAGTTTTGCTTTGGAGAAAACTAATTCTCTCATAATTGATCCTGAAATCATCAATTTTAAAAAACTTGTGGAAAATGGACATGCATGTTAGATGCTATGAAAAAAATTATACTTTTCATTGAAGGAACAGCTTAACACCACTATATGTGGAGGCACTTTTTAAAGAAATTTATTCATCTTAGAGAACTTATCCTTACATCCTTTACCTCCTGTTTTGATTTACAATGCTGGGAGCCTAGTGACTGAACGATGTTCTGCTACCAGCTGATTTAACTCAATACTGCAGATAATGGATATGATTTATGTTGCAGAATCTCTTCCTTTACCCTGGTCCATCAGAATGAAAATTGCTCTTGGTGCTGCCAAGGGCCTTGCCTTTCTTCATGAGGAAGCTGAAAGACCAGTAATTTATTGAGACTTCAAAACATCTAATATCCTTCTGGATGCGGTCTGTGACTTTAAATGATGTTAACAATTTCCTGTTTCGTTTTTCCTGTATCATCCCTTCTAAGAGATTGTCAACTCCTTTTCAGGATTACAATGCCAAGCTTTCTGATTTTGGACCAGCCAAAGATGGTCCAGACTCTTGTATGAACACAAGTGATGGGTACCTATGGTTATGCTGCCCCTGAGTTCGTAATGACAGGTGATTAGAACAGATAAAAGACATGCTTTATGGTATTAAAGCCCCCCTCCCCCAACACATTCACGTACAAAATCCCCAACATTAACATGTTCTAGTTTTCTTTCAGCTTGGAGATTCATTCTGCATGAGTGAGTATTGGTACTGGAATGTTGTAGCAACAGATCCATGATGTATTGAGCTTTTATTCACTTCCAAAACTGTATGTCTATATGTTCCATGCAATTTTTATTTTAAATCATTTTCCTGGTCCATCTAATAGTTTGGGGTTTGTATTGTTATGGTTTTTTTTTCTTAGTGAGGGAAAATATGTTTGGCAATTAAATGAGTATTCTATTTTTCCAGGGCAAATGACATTTAGGAGTGATGTCTATAGCTTTGGGGGGTTCTTCTTGAGATGTTGACAGGCCAAAGATCCATGGACAAATACCGACCAAATGGGGAGCATAACCTTGCGGAATGGGCTAGGCCGTATCTTGGAGAGAGGTTTTACTGACTTATAGATCCTCACCTTGAAGGACTCTTCTCAATCAAAGGGGCACAGAAAGCAATTCAATTGGCTGCCCACTGTCTTAGCCGTGATCCTAAAGCCAGAACTTTGATGAGTGAAGTCGTAGAAGCACTAAAGCCTCTGCCAAATCTCAATGACGTGGCTCGTTCTTCATCTCACTTCCAGGTCATGCCAGCAGAGTGTGCAGGGTCCGTTGCAAACGCTAGAAATGGCAGTAGACTGCAAGGAGGGTTCCCGTCTAGCAATGGTCAACCGAGTAGGAGCATCCCTACACCAAATGGGCCTCATGTTTCTCCATATAACCTTAATCATCTTCATCGGTCACCCAAACCTGATGTTGGACAGCCTTCAGAATGAGCCTATGCCTCCCTTCTTGCTCTGTTTTATTTTAGTTTATGCGTTTCTTCAAGGAGAGACGGAGGGAACGTTAGTGGGGCTTGGAAGTTATGCTGGTGAGCCTGATATGTTCCTTCTTGAGCAGAAGTGAAAATGGGCTCTGCACTGGAGAGAAACATTGAGAGGGCTCTTTTGTAGCATATGCCGTGTTTGAAAAAGTTAATGCCTTTTCTTTAGTGCTTGTCTAACTTCTATGCGATCAAGGTTGACGCATTTGGGGACTATAGTTTCCATTGCATAGCATGAATGCATGATGCGGTCAGGATTCTTTAATAATAAAAAAGAAAAAAAAACCGTCAATTTCTTCTGCTGAGTGCTTTAGTTTGTGTCGTGCATTCATTTGTTTCAATACAAAAAATTTGTAATACTCTTGTTGGGAAATATAAAGAAACAAGGTAATCTTCGATTTCCTGAACTCGACATCAAGGATGTTATTTCAACATAATAGTACAGAAAACTAAATCATGAAATAGACTAAACAGATTTATTTTTTAAAAAAATGCAGGGAAACTCCATAAGATCTAATTTGAGGAAGTACCACCGTGAAAGTTGTCTAGATGACACGAAACTTCTGAATGAAGTTTCCTTTCATTTTCTATCCCCAGATCAATATTTAGTTTTGCAGGTTGCAATAAGACTTCTGGTCGGGGTTCTCTTCCATTTTCCATCCCCAAATCTGTACTTACAAGTTCCAACAGAGTTATAGTTGGAAAAGGCTTCAAAAGTTGTCTTTGGAAGGCAACAACTTGTTGAGACACATATTTCATTGTTGGCCTACACTTTGGTTTTGCGTGCAAGCAAGCGAATGCTAGTGTAGCAGCAACAACAATACTTTGGGTAACGGTTTTGCTTCTTGGAGGTGTCAAGCGTGTGTCTAATACATCACTTAGCATCACATTTTGCAAAGAAGATGGTTTTGATACCAACGTCAACAATTCTCCAGGATGCCTTCCCATCAGTACTTCCAATGTCACAACCCCAAAACTATAAACATCACATTTCTCTGTCACAGCCATTGTATAGGCAAGCTCTGCATAGGTACCACACATTTCACATGTCAATTTAACAATAAATAGTGAAATAAGACAATAGAAGAAGAATGTTGTTATGTTGATAGAAAAAAACCTGGGGCAATATAACCATAGGTGCCAACAAGTACGGTATAATTAGATGAATCAGGATCCAAAAGCCTAGCATTTCCAAAGTCAGAAACAAAAGCCTCCAGCTTTGAGTTCAATAGAATATTGTTGCTTGATATGTCCCGATGAAGGATGGGTGGGATGCAATCATGGTGAAGGTAATACAAAGCATGAGCTATGTTTTTTATGACATTCACCCTTTTGAGCCAATCCAATTCGGCAGCTTCAACATTATCTCTAAGGACACAAAACAAGCTTCCCCTTTCCATGTATTCGTAGATCAAAAACATGCACTGTCTGTGCAGACAAAACCCATGTAGCTTGACAATGTTCTTATGTCGTATTTCTGTTAACATCTTAACCTCATTCTTAAAACTCTTGTAAAAAGTGGATACCTCTGCTTCCCTACAATGAAGTTTCTTTAAGGCAACTACTTTGCCATTTGGCAATTGAGCCCGGTAAACACTACCATAGCCACCAGTACCAATGCAATATTTGATGTCGAAATCCTCAGTTGCTGCAATAATGTCTTCATATGCAACCCTCCCATCAAAGTTCCATAGTGAGAATATATCCCCATTTTTTGTTAGACTTGGAACTACTTCCTTACTTTTAGCTCTATGTATTCTTCGAGTAAGGAACAACAGTGCCAGAGATACCAAGACAAGAGAAATGGTGATGAGAAGAGTAATTTTAATATGTCTCAAGACTTTGTTGTTTGTTTTTCTATGTTGAGTGAAGAAAGGAGGCAAAGTAGTGGGGTTGCTAAGAGGATGACGATGTAAACCTAGGTTGCCTGTAAAGGAGCTCTCTAGAAACTTATCCAAATTAGGTGGGATTGGGCCTGAGAGATTATTGTAACTGAGATTCAAGCTAATTAAGTTTGGTAAATCCCCAAGTTTTGCAGGTATTACCCCTTCCAAAAGATTTGAATGAAGATACAAGTTGGTCAAATTGGTTAAATGAACTAAAGTGGAGGGAATAAAACCAGTGAAATTGTTATTGCTAAGATCTAAAATATACAGACTCGTCATATTTCCTATTTTAGAAGGGAGGTCTCCACCTATGGAATTGTGGCTCAAATTCAGTTGTTCTAAAAGGGAGCAACTCTCAAGTCCTCTTGGGATATGTCCACTTAATTTGTTTTTGGAAAGGTCCAAATACCACAAAGATTTTAAATTTCCAAATTCTTTGGGTATTGAACCTTCCAAGAAATTTGAATCAAGACATAATTTGCCCAAATTGGGTAAATGAAGTAGAGTGGGTGGAATTGAACCACTGAAATTGTTAGTACCAAGATTCAAAGAAAGTAATTTAGTCATATTTCCTATCTCAGCAGGAATGAAACCATCTAATTGATTTGCCCCAAGATTCAGGTAGTCCAAATTGGACAACCGAGTCAGAGATGAAGGGATACGACCTGTTATTTTGTTTTTATAAAGATACAATCCCCACAAATTTTTTAGACTCCCTAAATTTTGAGGGATAGAACCATGCAAGTTATTTATTGGAAGGGACAAAATTGACAAATTGGACAAGAGACCTAGAGATGGAGGGATTTGACCTGTTAAATTGTTTTTTTCTAGACGCAAAACTTGCAAATTGGACAAACGAGACAAAGACGAAGGGATTTGACCTATTAAATTATTTTCATATAGATACAAACACTGCAAATTGGATAAACGAGACAGAGAGGAAGGGATCTGACCTGTTAAATTGTTTTCATAAAGATGCAAATACTGCAAATTGGACAAACGAGACAGAGAGGATGGGATTTGACCTGTTAAATTGTTTTCATAAAGATACAAATACTGCAACTTGGACAAATGAGACAGAGAGGATGGGATTTGACCTGTTAATTTATTATCACCAAGATCCAGAAGTTCCAATTTACTTAGATTTCCTATGTTTGGTGGGATGAGACCCTCAAAAGAATTTGTTGTAAGGTACAGGTTCCTCAAATTGGACAAGAGACTCAGAGATGAAGGGATTGTACCCCCTAAATTGTTTCGCCCAAGATCCAAAACAATCAAGTTCTTAAGGTTGGTCAGTTTCAAAGGGATGGAGCCATTGATTTGATTCCAATAAAGAGACAAGTATCTCAAATTTGTCAATTGACCCAAAGTTGGAGGGAGCGGACCAACAAGTCGGCATTGATCCAAGCGAAGATCAGTGAGATTCGTTAATTCCCCAACTTCTGGAGGGATGAAGCCACTAAATGAGTTGAAACTGAGGTATAAAACTGTCAGACTGGTTAATTGTCCAAGAGAGGATGGTATTGGACCCACAAGCCAGTTGCTACACAGATCCAGAGAAACCAAATTCTTTAGATTCCCCATTTCTGGAGGTATGGATCCATTGATTTGATTGTTTGCAAGAGTCAAAGAAATCAGATTGGTTAAATGACTGATATTGGAAGAGATTGGACCAATGAGGCTGCAATTACTCAAGTCCAAGGCCACAAGATTCTTCAAGTTCCATATTTCTGGAGGGATAATACAATCAAAAGGATTTGAGGCCAACTCCAAGTGGGAAAGATTGGTTAGAAGGCCTATGATTGGAGCAATGGATGCAGTAAGGTTGTTCCCAGTCAAGTTCAAAGAAACAAGATTCTTCAAATTCCTAAGTTCTGGGGAGATGGAATTAATGTAATCATTGAAAGATACGTCAAGCACCTGTAATTGAGTGAGATTTGCAAGTGAAGAAGGCAATGTACCTGATAGAGAGTTATAGGACAGATTAAGGTGCTCGAGTCTTGTAAGGTAGCCAATTCGAGGTGGGATGCTCCCCTCGAGTCCTTGATCGCTAAGATTAAGGCGAACAAGATTGGGGAAGGAAGAAAAGTTCATTTTTCCAAACTTCTTTCCCACGTTGAAGCCAGGTGGACTGATCTCAGTAACGCTCCCAGCACCATTGCATGTTATACCAGGCCAGTTACAATGTTCTGTAACGTTGTTGATGGAGGCATTCCACCACCCACTCTTCCGCAGAGCTTCTGCCTCAGGTGTTGCCCCTGTCACAAGTGAGCTGCCAGTGCCAATACCAATTGTAGAACAGAAAAGTATGGAAGCCCATGTTAATAACTCCATGAAAATGCGAATGTAAAATGCCATGTTAAGTTTGAATTTTTTAAGTTGGAAGTGTTTTGCTAGGTTCAGGAGAAAAGGTAGATATTTAAGGTGGTGGGTGCCGCATGCAACACGCGCAGATCATGATTAATAAGACAAAGTTTTGTTTCCCTCCTGAATCAACGGGATGTAGCGAAGAAAGTGTTCCGAGGGGATGTCTTTTTTATTTAATAAAGCTAGCTGTTGACCCCATTGTATGCAAGAATCCATCAATCAATAAATATTGTTAAAGGTAATATATTTTAAGAGACTAGGTGTACACAAGCATCTTTTGTTTTGAAGCCAAAGTCAGTCGTCTCCCAATTCCGGTGCTGTTAAGGCCATGCGTTGCACGCAATGACTAGTCTTTTCCATTTAGTGGAAAGTAGGTTTTGCTTTGATGTGATCCTGCTTTAGCTCTTTTGTTAGCCACTTGTCCTCGTTTCATAGAAACCGTGTTCTATTACTGATGCCGGATGAAATTTCTTTTGTTGATTCGTGTCTTTTTTTGGAATCAAAGATTTTATATTTATGATCTAATAAAGTTAGTAATCAGTGTCCCAAACTCAATTATATACAAGAATATATCCATCACTCAAAAAATGTTAAAAGTTACTATTTTTAAACACAAAAGACGTACGCATCCATGTTTCATACATCTTCTCTTTTGAGGACAAAGGTGGGTCGTTTCCCACTTTCAATTAAGGCTATGTGTTGCACGCAATGACTAAACTTTTCCAAGGAGACAGTTTAGTGGAAATTTCTAGTTAGACTTTTAAGAGTTGATTCAAGTCTTCGGTTATTTGTTATTGTAATGACTGATTTTTCATCTTAGAAAGTAACCAAGAAATTGCCTATGCGGGCCCAGAGAGAGGCCATATATCACGTTGATCTTTCTTTGCATACAGTTGGTCCTGACTTTCTTTTATGCAAACCTTGTGTCATTTTATGTTTTTTTTTTTTTTTTTACAAGGGTAATAGTTAGGAAGTTAGTACGAGTTAATTATTAGTAATTGGGGATTCGATCCCCAGATTGGGTGAACATTCCACCCCCTCAAATGAGGCACGCGACTTTTAAGCCACTGTTTGGTGGAGTTCACGACGGTAGTAGAGCTCGAAATTTTAACCACTTCACCCAAACACTTAAGGTTTAGAATCGAACTATTAGATTTAAATGCTCGGTTTGTGTCATTTTACGTTTGACAACTGTCATAAATTTTGAAAAATGATATGTGCAGCGATTTTTAAGCTGTGAATTAGACCGTCAACACATGACTTGTCACATAGTCTAACAACTTATTATTTGACTGATTATTTTTTTTATTTTTATAATAAAATTAGAATTCTCTTATTTTTAGATAATTTCAACATCATCCCCATTTTTACTTTCTGGAATCGTTCTCAAATCCTCGCTCCCTAGTCATTCCCTTTCACCAAACTCTAACCAGCCAAATAAAATTCCAATCACTCTCTTCTTCTCACTGCCTAGTTGTTGCCTAATTTGTAGCTTAAAAATCCATGAACTTATCATTTTCCAATAATTTTTAATACCGAAATATACAATTCTAAAAACACTCATTGATAATTTTATTATCTTTTAATCTTAATATTTTCTCTCTCCTTTTTTTTTTTTCCGAATTGCTTTTACACGTCATTGTATTTTCTTGTAGTTTAAAACTTTTGCTCGCTATTCTCAGTATTTCTAGAACAATTAGTTCGATTGGCCTAATTGATGACCTTAACGTATTTTGATCATACAGTATAGCATT